TGTGTGTACACTTTCATTAGCTCGGTCGTCTATGTGTGTACACTTACATTAGCTCTGTCGGCTATGTGTGTACATACTCTTTGGTTCTATTGGGTAAAGTCACGTAGGTGAAAATAAAATAACAAAAAATCACGACGTTTCGGCCACAACACAAGCGGCCTTCATCAGGTGAAGGGACGAGCCTGTCTGGAGGACAGCGCTGGAGTGGAAGAAGCCACGCTTAGATCACGACATTTAAGCTGTGTGAGAAGAAGAAAAATACCACGGGCTTTGACAAAGGAATTAGCATATAATGTAGCATTGAAATGGCTCATTGAAATAGCCAAGTTAAAGTATACACATCCGCAGAGGTGCCCCTTGACAAAGGAATTAGCATCGAATTTAGCATTGAAATAGCTGAGTGATTAGCTAGTAACTGGTCACAGAAATAGCTATGTTAAAGTCAGAGCATATACATTCACCGAGGCACCTAGTACTCATCAAACAGGAGAATTTAGCGAAACACAACCACGCTCAGACATCGGACCTGTGTGCGAGCCTACAAGGTGTTCTGACAAAGAGATTAGCATAAAAATTAGCATTTGATTGGCGGATTTTAGGAAAGAGGTGGTGTACGTGCCGGTGGACTTGCAGTTTGGCACGGGGGGAAGGGGGGAGGGGGATTTTACCTATTGATGGTGTGAAAATGGGAATTTATAAGAGCTGCGAAAGTTTGGGGTACCACTACTCGAAAAATATACTGTACCATTGAAATTAGTTTAATGTTTAGTTCGATTTAGAACATCTTTCCAATGGTTGCTTAATTTGAAACCATCCTCTCGGTTGAAATTGTGTCTGTGTTTGTAGATCTGAATTGCTTCATGAACAAATCTCTGATAAAAGCCCGTGGGTTTGCAAAGAACCTTGGTATCGGAAAAAATTATATCGTGATCCCCCACAGCGTTGTAACAGTGATCAGCTACGGCAGAAGAATTTGTTTTGCCGTGTTTCAAATCTGATTTGTGCTCGCGAATTCGGTCAGAGACATGTCGCTTTGTCTCACCGATGTAGCAATAACCGCAGGTACAACTCAATTTGTAAACCCCGGGGTACTGTAAATCAGGAATGACATCCTTCACGGATGGGATCAGATCACGAATTTTGTGTACTGTATTGAACCGGACCTGGATCTTGTGTTTGTTTAGAATTTTGGAAATCTTTTTAGTAACGCCTGCTATATATGGAAGTGTGATGGTTTTGACCGGAGTATCAAGTGGTTGTTTTCGTATGGAGGGAGAGACAGCTTGGCGGATGGTACGGTCAGAGTAACCATTCCTTTTGAGGGCCAGGTGTACATGTTTTAATTCACTGGTCAGGTGGTGTTGGTCCGAAATGCAATGAGCCCTATGGTATAAAGTTTTGATGAGAGAATTCTTTTGGGCTGGGTGGTGGTGGGAATCAGGTTTCAAGTAGGAATCTGTGTGGGTGGGTTTCCTGTAGACAGAATGCCCCAATGAGCCATCAGGTCTCCTCTGAAACAGAACGTCTAAGAATGGTAGCTTGCCATCTTTCTCCACTTCCATGGTGAATTTGATGGCGGGATGTCTGGAATTGATGTGGTGTAGGAAAAGGTTCAGAGCTGGGAGGCCATGTGGCCAAATGACGAAAGTGTCATCCACATATCTCTTCTACAGGGAAGGTCTGAGGGTGGAAGTCTGGATGGCGTCTGATTCAAATTTCTCCATGAAAATATTGGCTATCACTGATGACAAGGGGGAACCCATGGGGGTACCCTCATTTTGTTTGTAGAAGGTGCCATTCCAAGTAAAGTAGGTATTGTTGAGGCAGTGCCTAACCAGTGCAGGTGTGTCGGGGTCTAGTCCATGTTGGACCAAATTTTCAATTATTTCAATGGTATCAGGTACTGGGACCTTGGTGAACAAAGAGACCACATCGAAGCTGACAAGGATATCGTCAGGGGACAGTACAACGTCTTTGACCATAGAGACCAATTGGGCTGAGTTAAGTACTGCTGAGGCGGTCTTGCCAGTGAAAGGCAGCAAGGTATCTGACAGAAAACGGGCCAGTCTATAGGTAGGGGAGTTGATCGTGGATACGATGGGTCGTAGTGGGGGGCCTTCTTTATGAATCTTGGGAAGACCATAGAATCTAGGGGGTCTTGCAGCAGAAGGTTTTAGGGAGGGACGTTTAGTTGGGTCGATTAGGGAGGTCGAACTTGTAATGATCTTGTTGGTTTTTATCGCTAGGCTATTAGTGGGGTCATTTTTTATTTTTGAGTAACTTCCATCGTTGAGCAGATTCTGGATTTTGTTGTTGTATGAATCTTTATCCATAATAACAGTAGCGTTTCCTTTATCGGCTGAGAGGATGACTATATCACTTCTGTTTTTTAAATTCGCGAGTTCAGAGCGTTCATTTTTGCTGTTACTAATGGGTTTCTTAGCATTCTTAAGAATAGTGTGTACACTTACACTCGCTCTGTCGGCTATGTGTGTGCACTTACATTAGTTCGGTCGGCTATGTGTGTACACTTACACTAGCTCGGTCGGCTATCCGTGTACACTTACACTAGCTCGGTCGGCTATGTGTGTGCACTTACATTAGCTCGGTCGGCTATGTGTGTACACTTACATTAGCTCGGTCGGCTATGTGTGTACACTTACATTAGCTCGGTCGGCTATGTGTGTACACTTACACTAGCTCGGTCGGCTATGTGTGTACACTTCCACTAGCTCTGTCAGCTATGTGTGTACACTTACACTAGCTCGGTCGGCTATGTGTGTACACTTACATTAGCTCGGTCGGCTATGTGTGTACACTCACACTAGCTCGGTCGGCTATGTGTGTACACTTACACTAGCTATGCTGGCTATGTGTGTACACTTACACTAGCTCGGTCAGCTATGTGTGTACACTTACATTAGCTCGGTCGGCTATGTGTGTACACTTACATTAGCTCGGTCGGCTATGTGTGTACACTTACACTAGCTCGGTCGGCTATGTGTGTACACTTACATTAGCTTGGTCGGCTATGTGTGTACACTTACATTTGCTCGGTCGGCTATGTGTGTACACTTACATTAGCTCGGTCGGCTATGTATGTACACTTACATTAGCTCGGTCGGCTATGTGTGTACACTTACAGTAGCTCGCTCGGTTATGTGTGTACACTTCCACTAGCTCGGTCGGCTATGTGTGTACACTTGCACTAGCTCTGTCGGCTATGTGTGTACACTCACATTAGCTCGGTCGGCTATGTGTGTACACTCACACTAGCTCGGTCGGCTATGTGTGTACACTTACACTAGCTATGCTGGCTATGTGTGTTCACTTACATTAGCTCAGTCGGCTATGTGTGTACGCTTACAATAGCTCGGTCCGCTATGTGTGTACACTTACATTAGCTCGGTCGGCTATGTGTGTACACTTACACTAGCTCGGTCGGCTATGTGTGTACACTTACATTAGCTCGGTCGGCTATCCGTGTACACTCACACTAACTCGATCGGCTATGTGTGTACACTTGCATTAGCTCGGTCGGCTATGTGTGTACACTTAAACTAGCTCGGTCGGCTATGTGTGTACACTTACACTAGCTCGGGCGGCTATGTGTGTACACTTACATTAGCTATGCTGGCTATGTGTGTACACTTACATTAGCTCGGTCGGCTACGTGTGTACACTTACATTAGCTCGGTCGGCTATGTGTGTACACTTACACTAGCTATGCTGGCTATGTGTGTACACTTACACTAGCTATGCTGGCTATGCAGTAGCAATGCCAATGCAGCAGCATTCTGTGTCCTGGTCACAAAGTTTGTGGGTAGTAATGATTCTCTGACAGCCAATTTTCCGTACTTTTGAGGCATAAGCAATAAGGAAAGTAACACTTACTACCCATGGGCATGAATGAACGAATTGCACAAAGTAGCGATCGAGCAGCAGCTACTTGACCTCTGTGGAGGAGGAGGAGGGGTCTCGTGAAGGACGCTGCTGCTACTGGGGCTGGTGCCAGGCTAGGTGCACCTTGGGGCTACTGGGCCAGTTGGGAGGCAGTCGCCCCTCCAGCAACAACAATGGACGGCGGAGGAGCGACGCTCACAACAACGAGCGGAGCGCCGGGTGGATAAAGCACAGCAAGTTGGCAAAGTAGAGGGCACAGGTGGTGCATCAGCCACTCATCTCAGTCAGTCGACCCGTGGCACCTGCTGGGTCTGCCCCGTGACCTCCTGCCAGCGGGCGTTCGACACTTCACATGGCCTCAAGGTGCACATGGCCTGGCACAAGCGTCGTGGTGACGTCACCGCCACTTAGTAGCGAATGGCGGTTGTTTTAACAACACTTGCCCCTACAACCCTGCTAGAGGCTACCTGGGGAATCTTTGTCTGTGTTTGTGTAACTGCACTTGCCCCTACAGCCCTGCTAGAGGCTACCTGGGGGATCTTTGTGTGTGTAACAACACTTGCCCCTACAGCCCTGATAGAGGCTACCTGGGGGACCTTTGTCTTTGTGTGTGTAACAGCACTTGCCCCTACAGCCCTGCTAGAGGCTACCTGGGGGACCTTTGTCTTTGTGTGTGTAACAGCACTTGCCCCTACAGCCCTACTAAAGGCTACCTGGGGGATCTTCGTGTGTAACAGCACTTGCCCCTACAGCCCTGCTAGAGATTACCTGGGGGATCTTTGTCTGTGTGTGTAACAGCACTTGCCCCTACAGCTCTACTAGAGGCTACCTGGGGGATCTTTGTCTGTGTTTGTGTAACAGCACTTGCCCCTACAGCCCTGCTAGAGGCTACCTGGGGGATCTTTGTGTTTGTGTAACAGCACTTGCCCCTACAGCCCTGCTAGAGGCTACCTGGGGGATATTTGTCTGTGTATCAGCACTTGCCCCTACAGCCCTGCTAGAGGCTACCTGGGTAGCTTTGTCTGCGTGTGTAACAGCACTTGCCCCTACAGCCCTGCTAGAGGCCACCTGGGGGACCTTTGTGTGTAACAGCACTTGCCCCTACAGCCCTACTAGAGGCTACCTGGGGGACTGTTGTCTCTGTGAGGCTGAGGAAGCGGCAGCGGAACTGCTCCAGTTTCACTTTCGAGGGAAAACGCCCGAAACTTCAACAGAAACCATCACCACCACTACCATCACCACCACTACCATCACCACCATCATCACTACCATCACCACCATCAACGTCTCTGTGTGAGTGGTGAGTCTATGGGTCTCTGTGTGGTGAGTCTATGGGTCTCCGTGTGGTGAGTCTGTGGGTCTCTGTGTGGTGAGTCTATGGGTCTCTGTGTGGTGAGTCTATGGGTCTCCGTGTGGTGAGTCTGTGGGTCTCTGTGTGGTGAGTCTATGGGTCTCTGTGTGGTGAGTCTATGGGTCTCTGTGTGGTGAGTCTATGGGTCTCCGTGTGGTGAGTCTGTGGGTCTCTGTGTGGTGAGTCTATGGGTCTCTGTGTGGTGAGTCTATGAGTCTCTGTGTGGTGAGTCTATGGGTCTCTGTGTGGTGAGTCTATGGGTCTCTGCGTGGTGAGTCTATGAGTCTCTGTGTGGTGAGTCTATGGGTCTCTGTGTGGTGAGTCTATGGGTCTCTGTGTGAGTGGTGAGTCTGTGGGTCTCTGTGTGGTGAGTCTATGGGTCTCCGTGTGGTGAGTCTGTGGGTCTCTGTGTGATGAGTCTATGGGTCTCTGCGTGGTGAGTCTATAAGTCTCTGTGTGGTGAGTCTATGGGTCTCTGTCTGGTGAGTCTATGGGTCTCCGTGTGGTGAGTCTGTGGGTCTCTGTGTGGTGAGTCTATGGGTCTTTGTGTGGTGAGTCTATGGGTCTCTGTGTGGTGAGTCTATGGGTCTCCCTCTGGCGAGTCTGTGGGTCTCTGTGTGGTGAGTCTATGGGTCTCTGTGTGGTGAGTCTATGGGTCTCTGTGTGGTGAGTCTGTGGGTCTCTGCGGGGTGAGTCTATGGGTCTCTGTGTGGTGAGTCTATGGGTCTCCGTGTGGTGAGTCTGTGGGTCTCTGTGTGGGGAGTCTATGGGTCTCTGCGTGGTGAGTCTATGAGTTTCTGTGTGGTGAGTCTATGGGTCTCTGTGTGGTGAGTCTATGGGTCTCCGTGTGGTGAGTCTATGGGTCTCTGCGTGGTGAGTCTATGAGTCTCTGTGTGGTGAGTCTATGGGTCTCTGTGTGGTGAGTCTATGGGTCTCCGTGTGGTGAGTCTGTGGGTCTCTGTGTGGTGAGTCTATGGGTCTCTGTGTGGTGAGTCTATGGGTCTCTGTGTGAGTGGTGAGTCTGTGGGTCTCTGTGTGGTGAGTCTATGGGTCTCCGTGTGGTGAGTCTGTGGGTCTCTGTGTGATGAGTCTATGCGTCTCTGCGTGGTGAGTCTATGAGTCTCTGTGTGGTGAGTCTATGGGTGTCTGTGTGGTGAGTCTATGGGTCTCCGTGTGGCGAGTCTGTGGGTCTCTGTGTGGTGAGTCTATGGGTCTCTGTGTGAGTGGTGAGTCTGCGGGTCTCTGTGTGTGTGGTGAGTCTGTGGGTCTCTGTGTGAGCGGTGAGTCTATGGGTCTCTGTGTGAGTGGTGAGTCTATGAGTCTCTGTGTGGTGAGTCTGAGTCTCTGTGTGAGTGGTGAGTCTATGAGTCTCTGTGTGGTGAGTCTGAGTCTCTGTGTGAGTGGTGAGTCTATGAGTCTCTGTGTGGTGAGTCTGAGTCTCTGTGTGAGTGGTGAGTCTATGAGTCTCTGTGTGGTGAGTCTATGAGTCTCTGCAGCGATGGAGCTGCTCTTCCTCATGGAGAACCGCGGGGAGCTCCTGCGTCTCGTCCGTGCCGATCCGGGAGCCCTCATGGACGAGGTGGAGTCCATGGGCTACAGCGACGTCTACGAAAAGGCCAGAACCGCCACCACTGACGTGAGACCCAAGAGACTTGTAGACCCATGGAGACTCACAGAGACCTATAGGCTAAGCACTCACACAGATTCCCATATACTCATCACGCAGAGATCCACAGACTCACCACACAGAGACCCATAGGCTAATCACTCACACAGATACCCATATACTCATCACGCAGAGATCCACAGACTCACCACACAGAGACCCATAGGCTAATCACTCACACAAATACCCATAAACTCATCACGCAGAGATCCACAGACTCACCACACAGAGACCCATAGGCTAATCACTCACACAGATACCCATATACTCATCACGCAGAGATCCACAGACTCACCACACAGAGAGCCATAGACTCATCACTCATACAGATACCCATATACTCAACACGCAGAGACCCATAGACTCACCACACAGAGATCCATAGACTCACCACACAGAGACCCATAGACTCATCACTCACACATACCCATATACTCATCACGCAGAGATCCACAGACTCACCACACAGAGACCCATAGGCTAATCACTAATACAGATACCCATATACTCATCACGCAAAGACCCATAGGCTCACCACACAGAAACCCACAGACTCACCACACAGATACCGATAGACTCATCACACAGAGACCCATAGACTCATCACGCAGAGACCCATAGACTCACCACACAGAGACCCATAGACTCATCACTCATACAGATACCCATATACTCATCACGCAAAGATCCACAGACTCACCATACAGAGACCCATAGACTCATCACTCATACAGATACCCATATACTCATATTCTTGGTTATTTCGGTAAAGTCACGTAGAAGGGAAACAATAAAATAATAAAAAAATGTTCTTGCTGTGGTTTTCACACCTGATGATGACTGCTTGTGTTGCAGCCGAAACGTCGTGAGAATTTTATTGTTTTATATTTTTTATTATTTTATTGTTTCCCTATCTACGTGGTGACTTTACCGAAAGAACCAAGAATATGAATCCCTGCAGTCACGAAAGCTTTAAATAAAAAAATAAAAACCCACAGACTCACCGCACAGAGACCCATAGATCTACCACACAGGGTCCTGCATCGAACCCACGACCTCCTCCGTACCAGGCGAGGTAGGTAATGTCTCCTAGCCAGCGTGGTACTCGGGCTTAGGCCGTGATGCTGGTGATCATGGTGGTGGTGGCAGTGGTGATGGTGGCGGTGGCGATGATGATGTTGGTGGTGATAGTGGTGATGGTGGTGATAGTGGTGGTGGTGGCCGTGGCGATGGTGGTGGTGGTAGCAGTGGCGATAGTGATGATGGTGGTGGTGGCAGTGGCGATGGCGATGATGGTGGTGGTAGCAGTGGCGATGGTGGCGATGGCGATGATTGTGGTGGTGGCATCGGCGGTGGTGGCATCGGCGATGGTGACATTCGCGATGGTGGTGGTGATGTTGGTGGTCATCATGGTGATGATGGCGGCGATGGCGGCGATGGCGGCGATGGCGATGGTGGACGTCGTAATGTCGGCCGGTGACCGCCCCCCCCCCCCCCCACGGCAGGAGCTTCAGGCCGAGCGGCTGATCTCCGAGATGCTCGCCCTGGGGCAGCCGGCGGCGGTCGACCTCCTCGAGGCTCTCCGCGAGCTGCGGGACAAATACGAGGGCCTCGTCGGGCTCCTCGACAGCCTCCGTGAGCGATTCCCGCCTCCACCCCCTCTCCCTCGCCAGTGCCGTGCGCGCGGGGCGGTTTAGCCTCGACCCTCCATGAGCAGCCGGTAGCCCTTGCGACGCTCTCGTCTTCGCCGGTAGCCCTTGCGACACTCTCGTCTTCGCCGGTAGCCCTTGCGACACTCTCGTCTTCGCCGGTAGCCCTTGCGACACTCTCGTCTTCGCCGGTAGCCCTTGCGACGCTCTCGTCTTCGCCGGTAGCCCTTGCGACACTCTCGTCTTCGCCGGTAGCCCTTGCGACACTCTCGTCTTCGCCGGTAGCCCTTGCGACACTCTCGTCTTCGCCGGTAGCCCTTGCGACGCTCTCGTCTTCGCCGGTAGCCCTTGCGACACTCTTGTCTTCGCCGGTAGCCCTTGCGACACTCTCGTCTTCGCCGGTAGCCCTTGCGACACTCTCGTCTTCGCCGGTAGCCCTTGCGACACTCTCGTCTTCGCCGGTAGCCCTTGCGACGCTCTCGTCTTCACCGGTAGCCCTTGCGACGCTCTCGTCTTCGCCGGTAGCCCTTGCGACGCTCTCGTCTTCGCCGGTAGCCTTTGCGACACTCTCGTCTTCGCCGGTAGCCCTTGCGACGCTCTCGTCTTCGCCGGTAGCCCTTGCGACACTCTTGTCTTCGCCGGTAGCCCTTGCGACACTCTCGTCTTCGCCGGTAGCCCTTGCGACACTCTCGTCTTCGCCGGTAGCCCTTGCGACGCTCTCGTCTTCGCCGGTAGCCCTTGCGACGCTCTCGTCTTCACCGGTAGCCCTTGCGACGCTCTCGTCTTCGCCGGTAGCCCTTGCGACACTCTCGTCTTCGCCGGTAGCCCTTGCGACGCTCTCGTCTTCACCGGTAGCCCTTGCGACGCTCTCGTCTTCGCCGGTAGCCCTTGCGACGCTCTCGTCTTCGCCGGTAGCCCTTGCGACGCTCTCGTCTTCACCGGTAGCCCTTGCGACACTCTCGTCTTCGCCGGTAGCCCTTGCGACACTCTCGTCTTCGCCGGTAGCCCTTGCGACACTCTCGTCTTCGCCGGTAGCCCTTGCGACGCTCTCGTCTTCGCCGGTAGCCCTTGCGACACTCTTGTCTTTGCCGGTAGCCCTTGCGACACTCTTGTCTTCACCGGTAGCCCTTACGACACTCTCGTCTTCGCTGGTAGCCCTTGCGACGCTCTCGTCTTCGCCGGTAGCCCCTGCGACACTCTCGTCTTCGTGTTCGCGTCTCGGACGAGAGGGCCACACCGGTCGTGGAGTAGTGAATGTTGAGGAGGAGAGGTGGGAGAGAGAGAGAGGGTGGGTGGGGGGGCGCGCTGGGGTTGGGGTGGGGGTTGGTGTGGTGAGATATGTTAAAAGTAACAAACAAAATGAAAGAGAGTAACTTTTACATCACGGGAACTCCTTTGCCGGCACCAAAACAAGACCGTAGGTTCCCCCCCCCCCCTTTCCTCCCGGCAACAAAACAGCTGCGTTAAGATGTTAAAGCGCCAAACTGAAAGCTTGCTACGAGGAATCGCGTCGCCGCATTGATCCACGATACTCGTGGCCGGAATGCAAACAAAATAACAGCGCGGTCGGAATGACCTCGGTGTCGCGGCATCTCTTCAGAGAAGTGAGGAGACTCGATCAGATGAGGCCTTCCTGCGTCTCCGAGTCCGTTAAAAGATGATCGAATGGTTGTGTGGAAACCCTCCCCCCCGCAGAGGCGGTCAAATCTTGACCTAAAGCTTTCGTCCACGCAGGAAGGGTTTCCAGCGGCTTCCGGACGGACCCCTTCAGGAACTTTGCTGTCTTACCCCCCCCCCCCGCCGTGTATACTGTCGCCTGCTGACGTGTGCACTGCCGTACGCTGCAGGTACAACTTTCCGTCAGCGGCCAGCGCCACTACTCTGCGCGTATAAAAAATAAATAAAAGATTCCACTTCATCGATTACCGCCCTCCGTGGCCGAGGCTTTCAGCAGCTTTCCCCACCCACCCCCCCCCCCCCCTCTGTCTCCATTTCCGCAGCGAGGGCCGACTCCGACAGCACGGCCCGGGGGCAGCCGGGCCCAGGATCCGCTGCTGCCGCCACGGTATCTGTCCAGCTCCCGGCGGCGTTACCGGCAGCCTCTCGGCCTCCCGCTGCGACGTCGTTCGAGGCGAAGCTGCAAGCTTGCGGCGACGACAAGGAGCTCCTGCGGAGGATCGTTCCTCTGACGCCGCAGCTCGTGCAAGCCCTGCAGGGCAACCTCCTGCCGATACTCAACGAGCTGAGCGCCAGGGAGGTCATCACGGTGGCCGAGAGAGACGTGAGGCTCTGTCGCCTCCCAAGCGGAGCTGACGATTCGGGGATATAGGCAGAGGTGGATTAAGGTTGTTATTTTTTTTAAAAGGCCCTGGGCACTTCTGTTCCGTATGTCTCTTCAGTGATAACGTCCCAACGGTGGCTACTGCTGCCCACCAAGGTCACCACTACTACCGCCACTGTTCACGCATTGTTACTTCGTCCAGCCGCTGGACAAGATGTCGCCACTGCCTTGCTCACAACGAAGTGAATGAGTGGGTGGGTGAGTGAGTGGGTGAGTGAGTGAGTGGGTGGGTGAATGAGTGAGTGGGTGGGTGAGTGGGTGAATGAGTGATTGAGTTGTGTGTGTCGTGTTGATGATGTGTGTGTGTCGTGTTCATGATGTGTGTGTGTGTCATGTTAATGTTGTGTGTGTGTTGATGTTGTGTGTGTGTGCCGTGTTGATGATGTGTGTGTTGATGTTGTGTGTGTGTGTTGATTTTGTGTGTGGGTCATGTTGATGATGTGTGCGTTGATGTTGTGTGTGTGTTGTGTTGATGATGATGTGTGTGTGTCGTGTTGATGATGCTGTGTGTGTTGATGTTCTGTGTGTGTGTCTTGTCGTGGTTGCTTGAGAGTAGAAGGTCAAGGCCAGGTCAAACAATGGAGGTGCCGCTGCCGCCACTGAGCTGCTGGACATCGTCGAGCAGAAGGGCCGCCGCGAGGCGCGGAAGTTCTGGCTGGCGCTGTGGGCCACGCGTGACACCTACACGCGCCTGCTGGACATCTTCGACGAGTTCTGAGAGGCCTGGGCAAAAATGAGAGGCCGAAGAGCCACGTGGGACGGAAGCGTTGCGCGATGTCTTCATCTTCCCCGAGGTCCATCGCTGGAGTCTCTCCCCCCACCACGCTGGACGTCTGTGAAGGAGATCTTCGCATTGTCTGGGTCTCTCGGCAAAATCTCGACTCGAAAGCTTTCGTGACTGCAGGAATTCAAATTCTTGGGGTCTTTCGATAGGTTCAAAGAAAATGACACAAAAAAAAGAACCACTTTACGTGACATTTACCGAAAGACCCAAATAATGTGAATTCCTGCAGTCACGAAAGCTTTCGGGTCGCGATTGAGATCTTTGTAATTCGTCAGAATCCTACCAGTGGTATAAACAAATAAATATTCCGATTCTGAGACGCTCTGCCTCCCTCTGCCGGTCGCTGCGGTCTCAGAACTGAAATCGCTTCCCTCATGAACCATTTTTGTTTTTCATTTCTCACCAGGTGAACCCGACTTGGTTATTGCGTGCATGACGATAGCTCGTCATCGTAGTGGCTGATATCATCATCATCATGACACGTAGGGGATTCATAGTAGCAGCCACATGAGCTAAACGCCCAGACCCAAAGACTCAACACTGAGACCCATAGACTCAGCACTGAGACCCATAGACTAAACACTGAGACCCATAGACTCAACACTGAGACCCATAGACTCAACACTGAGACCCATAGACTCAACACTGAGACCGATAGACTCAACACTAAGACCCATAGACTCAACACTGAGACCCATAGACTCAACACTGAGACCCATAGACTCAACACTGAGACCCCTGGACTCAGCACTGAGACCCATAGACTCAGCACTGAGACCCATAGACTCAACACTGAGACTCATAGACTCAACACTGAGACCCATAGATTCAAAACTGAGACCCATAGACTCAAGTCTGAGACCTATAGACTCAACACTGAGACCCATAGACTCAACACTGAGACCCAATGACTGAACACTGAGACCCATAGACTCAGCACTGAGACCCATAGACTCAGCACTGAGACCCATAGACTCAACACTGAGACCCAAAGACTCAGCACTGAGATCCATAGACTCAGCACTGAGACCCATAGACTCAACACTAAGACCCATAGACTCAACACTGAGACCCATAGACTCACCACTGAGACCCATATACTCAACACTGAGACCCATAGACTTAACACTGAGACCCATAGATTCAACACTGAGACCCATAGACTCAACACTGAGACCCATAGACTCAGCACTGAGACCCATAAACTCAACACTGAGACCCATACACTCAGCTCTGAGACCCATAGACTCAACACTGAGACCCATAGACTCAACACTGAGACCCATAGACTCAGCCCTGAGACCCATAGACTCAACACTGAGACCCATAGACTCAACACTGAGACCCATAGACTCAGCACTGAGACCCATAGACTCAACACTGAGACCCATAGACTCAGCAGTGAGACCCATAGACTCAACACTGAGACCCAATGACTGAACACTGAGACCCATAGACTCAGCACTGAGACTCATAGACTCAACACTGAGACCCAATGACTGAACACTGAGACCCATAGACTCAACACTGAGACCCATAGACTCAACACTGAGACCCATAGACTCAGCACTGAGACCCATAGACTCAACACTGAGACCCATAGACTCAACACTGAGACCCATAGACTCAACACTGAGACCCATAGACTCAACACTGAGACCCATAGACTCAACACTGAGACCCATAGACTCAACACTGAGACCCATAGAATCAACACTGAGACCCCTAGTCTCAACACTGAGACCCATAGACTCAACACTGAGACTCATAGACTCAACACTGAGACCCCATAGACTCAACACTGAGACCAATAGACTCAACACTGAGACCCATAGACTCAACACTGAGACCCATAGACTCAACACTGAGACCCATAGACTCAAGTCTGAGACCCATAGACTCAACACTGAGACCCATAAACTCAAATCTGAGACCCATAGACTCAACACTGAGACCCATAGACTCAACACTGAGACCCATGGACTCAACACTGAGACCCATAGACTCAACACTGAGACCCATAGACTCAACACTAAGACCCATAGACTCAACACTGAGACACATAGACTCAACACTGAGACTCATAGACTCAACACTGAGACCCAATGACTGAAAACTGAGACCCAAAGACTCAGCACTGAGACCCATAGACTCAGGACTGAGATCCATAGACTCAACACTGAGACCCAATGACTGAACACTGAGACCCATAGACTCAGCACTGAGACCCATAGACTCAGCACTGAGACCCATAGACTCAACACTGAGACCCATAAACTCAGCACTGAGATCCATAGACTCAACACTGAGACCCATAGACTCAGCACTGAGACCCATAGACTCAGCACTGAAACCCATAGACTCAACACTGAGACCCATAGACTCAACACTGAGACCCATAGACTCAACACTGAGACCCATAGACTCAACACTGAGACCCATAGACTCAACACTGAGACTCATAGACTCAACACTGAGACCCAATGACTGAAAACTGAGACCCATAGACTCAGCACTGAGACCCATAGACTCAGCACTGAGACCCATAGACTCAACACTGAGACCCATAGACTCAGGACTGAGACCCATAGACTCAACACTGAGACCCAATGACTGAACACTGAGACCCATAGACTCAGCACTGAGACCCATAGACTCAGCACTGAGACCCATAGACTCAACACTGAGACCCATAGACTCAGCACTGAGATCCATAGACTCAACACTGAGACCCATAGACTCAGCACTGAGACCCATAGACTCAGCACTGAAACCCATAGACTCAACACTGAGACCCATAGACTCAACACTGAGACCCATAGACTCAACACTGAGACCCATAGACTCAACACTGAGACCCATAGACTCAACACTGAGACCCATAGACTCAACACTGAGACCCACAGACTCAACACTAAGACCCATAGACTCAACACTGAGACACATAGACTCAACACTGAGACCCATAGACTCAACACTGAGACCCATAGACTTAACACTGAGACCCATAGACTCAACACTGAGACCCATAAACTCAACACTGAGACCCATAGACTCAGCACTGAGACCCATAGATTCAACAATGAGACCCATAGACTCAAGTCTGAGACCCATAGACTCACCACTGAGACCCATAGACTCAACACTGAGACCCATAGACTCAACACTGAGACCCATAGACTCAACACTGAGACCCATAGACTCAACACTGAGACCCATAGACTCAACACTAAGACCCATAGACTGAACACTGAGACACATAGACTCAACACTGAGACCCATAGACTCAACACTGAGACCCATAAACTCAAGTCTGAGACCCATAGACTCAACACTGAGACCCATAGACTCAACACTGAGACCCATAGACTCAACACTGAGACACATAGACTCAACACTGAGACTCATAGACTCAACACTGAGACCCAATGACTGAAAACTGAGACCCATAGACTCAGCACTGAGACCCATAGACTCAGCACTGAGACCCATAGACTCAACACTGAGACCCATAGACTCAGGACTGAGACCCATAGACTCAACACTGAGACCCAATGACTGAACACTGAGACCCATAGACTCAGCACTGAGACCCATAGACTCAGCACTGAGACCCATAGACTCAACACTGAGACCCATAGACTCAGCACTGAGATCCATAGACTCAACACTGAGACCCATAGACTCAGCACTGAGACCCATAGACTCAGCACTGAAACCCATAGACTCAACACTGAGACCCATAGACTCAACACTGAGACCCATAGACTCAACACTGAGACCCATAGACTCAACACTGAGACCCATAGACTCAACACTGAGACCCATAGACTCAACACTGAGACCCACAGACTCAACACTAAGACCCATAGACTCAACACTGAGACACATAGACTCAACACTGAGACCCATAGACTCAACACTGAGACCCATAGACTTAACACTGAGACCCATAGACTCAACACTGAGACCCATAAACTCAACACTGAGACCCATAGACTCAGCACTGAGACCCATAGATTCAACAATGAGACCCATAGACTCAAGTCTGAGACCCATAGACTCACCACTGAGACCCATAGACTCAACACTGAGACCCATAGACTCAACACTGAGACCCATAGACTCAACACTGAGACCCATAGACTCACCACTGAGACCCATGAACTCAACACTGAACCCCATAGACTCAACACTGAGACCCATAGACTCACCACTGAGACCCATAGACTCACCACTGAGACCCATAGACTCAACACTGAGACCCATAGACTCAACACTGAGACCCATAGACTCAACACTGAGACCCATAGACTCAACACTGAGACCCATAGACTCAACACTGAGACCCATAGACTCAGCACTGAGACCCATATACTCAACACTGAGACCCATAGACTCAACACTGAGACCCATAGACTCAACACTGAGACCCATAGACTCAACACTGAGACCCATAGACTCAGCACTGAGACCCATAGACTCACCACTGAAACCCATAGACTCAACACTGAGACCCATAGAGAAGAGAGGGAATGACTGTAGCCGAGAAGACCTGAAGCTTCATGTGGAGCGACAGACCAGGTAGCTTCCACACAGCGTTGCGCAACCGATGAAAAGATATATCGAACCGGAGCCCATCATGAGTACACTGCCTAGGTATGGAAAACTCTCCACTCTCTCCACAACTGCCCCATCACCGATTGAGAGTTGTGGGAGTGGAGTGTCCGATGGCACAAAATACCCAGGCAGTTGCTTAGTTTTGGTGGGGCTGATGGTAAGGCCCCATCTCTTAGTGGCACGCTCCAGTCTCAGCAGCAGCGTCTCCAACTCCTCCTCTGAGTAAGCAGCAATCACCAGAACATCGGCACACATCACGTGGTTGACCAAAAGGGAGCCATCCCTTGACCGCACCCGGGCAACGATCAGCCTCCCATTGTATCTGTGTTTGGGTGATTGTCCCTCACCATTCAACAGCCTGTAGTTTCACTTACCGTCAATGGCGTGCAGAGGTATTACCTCGCCAGGGCACAGAGTAAAGGCCAACGGTGGATCCCAGTCAACGGATGCTGGGACACATTCCCCATGCCCCCGGGTGGGGGGCAACCGGGGGAATGATGTCACCTTCCAGAGAGTGTTCCAGAAGGAAGGCGTGGCCAGGGCGGAGCCGGCCACGAACTTGTATACAAGTCAGGGCTCAGGGAGCTCTGGCTCAGTTATCTACACGCCGAAGACTGGAGCCCGGGCTGGAGAACAGGACCCTGGACCCCAAGCTCTGCAGCCCTTCTAAGGCCTGTAGCTCAGTGAGGACAGTGGT